CTGACAGCTTTGGGAATATGCTCTGCTCTAACTTCTCTACTTCTTTCAGTGTGAAAAGCTGGTTGACCTTCAGCTCTCCTGAGGTCTTGCAGGCTGTGTGATCTGTGGATAGCATCCTTGCTGACAGGTCTTCTTGCATGTTTTTCCCAAATCTAGAAGCACTTGAGAAGCACGTGTAGTATTAGATTATATCATTCATTTTTTTATTTAAGCATATGAAGTTGCTTTAGCCTGGTCAGTCAAGAAGAAAATTTTGTTCTGAATTGTTGCAAAAAAACAAATGAACAAAAAAAACCTCAACAACCAAACTCAAACAACAAATCCAACTAAATCTGCCCTTCTCTCCTTGTGGCCCCTTGGCCCTTAACAGAGCTCTTCTACATCAGGTGGAAGGTAATTACTGAATTTGGTTGTAAAATGCTTGGCAGCATCATCATGTTTGAAGTGCTGAATGTGAATTGCTGTATTTAATTTTTTTCCAATAGAAACACGGAGGCAGTGGTGTTAGTGGGTGAATTTTATATACGGCAAATGCTTCCTGCGTAGGACTGGATTGTGAAGTGAGACTTCTGCATGTGTTTAAAACGCCTGGATTCTCTACAAAGCATTATATAATTATCTTCTCTATTAGATGGCCACCCACATTTTCTGTAGTATGTCTGAATTTGTTTTTGTAACTGGTAAGATGCTGCAGCTCTAAAATGACAGTGCCAAGCTCTTAAATATTGTGCTTTTCGAGCTAACCCTGCTGCAGTTAGTAGAAAACACTAAGGAAGGTAGAAAACACTTTATTTTTTTGTCAGGTGTTCTACAACAAGCTAAAAGCAGTGGTCAAAATTAAGCTCCCATTGAGACAGGAGCTGTACAAACACTTCAGGCCTGAGCAGAACAGACCAGGCAGACACGTTTGGATTGTATGTTCCTTAGTTTGTTGGGTGGAGGACAGTGGAGTTTGGAAGGAATCTGCTGAGCAGAGAGAAAAGGAGAATGTGAAAGGTGTAAGAGGATGATAGAGCAGACGAGTATAGGAAAAAGGCAGCCAAGGAGTTTTGGGTGGGAGCAATCCTCCCAACTGATGCTTTCTTTAGAGCAAAGAAGGATCTGGATAAAGAAGTTGAGGAGTGTAGAAGCCAAAGATCACGGCTTTGGCTTCCTTTGCAGCCTCTCTGATAGCTGGAATCTAACAGGGATGCTCTCCACGGTCTTCCCTGAAGCCTGCCAAGAGGGGCTGAGAAAGTATTACTTGGGATCTAGCCACGTTCTCCCCTGTCCCAGGAATACTCTGTTTTAGTCTTCTCCAGTCTTGCATCAGCAGTTTATTTTTGGAAAGACTGTTGTATTATCTAGAGGTTGAGGCAGGCAAGAAAAGGGGTCGCAGCTCCGTTGCGAGTCCCACCACGCCGTACCCCTTCCCTTGGGTGAGGTGGGCGTAGCGCTGCCTTTCTCTGCAAGAAACATTGAATTATAATTTCTAAACCTCAAGTCTTGCATAAAGCATTTGAGTTGTTTGTGTTACCGGTCTATAAGCAGGAAATACCAACAGAGGGTTATGTGAGCCTTGCGAGAATCCAGCAGTTGTATGGATGTGAATAGCTGGGATGTGTGTGGTGACTTGTGATGTCCTCAGGGCAATGGACTAGGAGTTAATCTGCCTCCAGCCTTAACTGCCCTCACTTTGTATCTAAGGCATTGAACTAAGACTCCAAACATCTGGGACCAGTTCTCAGCTACTTTAAACTTCCTTTGTGACCTTGGGCCAAGCCCAAGTGTGCACTGGTTTCTCATATCTAAAACAGTGACAGTACTAATATTGTTCCTTTTGTCTTTAGTGTTGGGTACATAAATACATGGGGTAGCAATGGCCTCTGCTGTCTGATCTGCACGAGTAAGAGTACCCAGCCCTGAAATCTCCCTGTGCTTCTGGAATCTGCACAAGTGAGACTATAAATCCACTCTGAAGACTCATCGTTTAACTTGAAAACACTGAATTATTCTTTAGGTGGCTTGGCCTTTGCTCTAGCCCTCTGCCCCAGATGATTTTGTGAGTAAAGTTACTACAGTCAGGAAGAAATGGAAAAGCAGGAGGACAAATATGGTCTTGTTTAAAGGAACTGTTGGGTTTTAGTATGACCTAAAGCAAAATGCTTTATTCAGCAGTTTTTACAAACAGGAAGCTTTATTTAAAAGGCTACAGCACTTGCTGAATCATGGAGCAAGAGGAAAACTGAGCACAAGAATTGGTTCAAACAGGGCAGATTTTGCAATTTTCAGAGCTTTTCTTGTGTCCCTAGTGTTCAGTCTTAATTGCCTTAAACAGATATATCAGAAATGTTGCTAGAATACTGCCCTGTCTGTCAGTTTAATGCTGTGCATTTCACAAATAAAAATGGGATGAAAAGTTTGGTTTCCGTTAACTCAGGAGAACTGTGTGGCCTTCCTGGCAGAGCTGGAGAGGAAGAGGAGGGAATAGATTGATATACTTCACTGCAGTCCTCACATCTAAATATAAACAGTTCTCTTCTTGGATCCTTTCAATCTGAACTTCTGGGTGATTTGACCTTTCTTTGATAAAAGCTGTCTTTATTTGCAAGAATAAAAGGGCAAGGGTGAGGAAAGGACACAGCAGATTTCATAATTTATTTAAATTATCTTCAAATCCTAGCAGTTGGTTTCTGCAGTACTCAGCGCTCGCTGTTGAACCAGCTCTGTCCTGGACTCCCAACTTTTCTCCTCCTCAGAGTCCCTTGAGTGAACTTTGCATTTTACTGTAAAGCAGTGACCATAAAATTTCTAAGGAAGTTTATGGAAGTGTGTTTTCTCCCAGGGGAGACCATCGTGGGCTCCAGTCCTCTGTCTTGCTACGAATGGGTGGATCACTTTGAGCAAGTGACTTGGTTTATGCCCTTTACAGCACTAACCTTGGTTTTCCTTACTTCATAACTTCAGCTGAAAGAAATATTTGTATTAAATGCTGCTGGTTATTCATATGTACACCCTGAAGGTTTTTGAGTTGAACGTCAAAACATGTCCCATAAAACCACTGTACTCTCTGCCTTTGGTGGGGTTAGCAGCTTGTGCAAGGCGATGCACAGGCACAGTATTTATAACTGCTCCAGACTACATGCAGGTCTTTCTGGCACTGGTTTTAACCATTAATTGCCACTTTAAATCCAGCAATAAATTATTTGGGCAACCACAATGCATGAGCCCACTGCCAAGAATAAACCAGAGCCTGAGAATTACTCAATCTCTTTCATACTTCAGAACTCTTGCAGCTGGATGGGGTAGGGCACCTCCTGGACTCAATCTGATTATTTTTTGGTGTCGCACATATCTTCTGGTCATAGTTTAGAATCATCCTGAAAATGTTTGTATCACTTGCAATGCGTTGCCTGTGAGTACTGGTTTGCCATTTGCCCCTGAAGCGCGGGATGGCGTGTGGTGTGTGGGATTGCCTCCGGGTAAAGCTGCCTGATCCTTTGCAAATTGGATTTTGCAGCTTACTTCCCTGTCCTCTTGGATAAAGTTTCCCCTTAGCTGCCTCTCCTCTAATAGAACCTGTGTCTGTCTCAGGGCTGCAAAACTGTTTTATAATACTCTGCTGGATCAGGAGTCACTTGGGAGGGGAGAGACTTTCCATTTCGGAGGAGGCACCTGAAACCTGCTTGAGAATAAGCATGCTGCTTAGTTTACTCCTGAATTTCCACTTGGTCTGCACAAGATTCCTGTTGGTTTGGTGCCTTTCCTGCTGCTTTTATACACTGTGGTACAGAGTTTTTTCTGGCTAGGAGCCCTCTAGTAATGACTGTTATTTTAGAAAACCTAGTTACTGCTCAGGCTGCCTCTGTATCATACAATGAGTCGTAGAGATTACATGCTGGGGAGGAAATGAAATGATCAGGAAAGGCCTACATCATAAAAAGCAAGAGTTTATTTTAAACCAATTAAATTGGGGATTAGAGGGTGCTGTTAAGTTCTACCCCTAGTGAAAGAAAATAAAGCAGAAAAATGTACTTTATTAGGAAAAATGTGATTGTCTGGGCTTATAATAAATCCTGTATAATTCTTGAAAGTATTCAAACAGGCCAGCATACAGGGCATGGTGGGTTGTAACGGAGAGGGCCGTCTTCAGGGGAGGTGAATGGTTTCAATTTGCTTATAAGAACATATGGATTTGCATTCACGTGCCCTTTCTGGGAGAGGGTGGTAGCACTGGTGAGGAGTGGGAGTAGGAACCAAACTCCTTTAACAGCAAGCTCAGGAGCTGTGCCAGCTTCTTACACAGGCATTTCTCTCCTGTTTTAAACAGGACACCTGGCAGGGGAAGATGAATCCTTTACAGGGTTAATCCCTAAATCCTTGGTGTTCAACTTTTGAACAAAGAAGGGAAGTGAATATTCTCAGAAGTGCTCTGAGACAACCTACTCTTTCATATAGACTGCCAACAGCTGTCAGATGGAAATGATTTTTGGACAGTATGAAATCAATGTGGAATCACACTGGTGACCAAGAGCAGGCTGTGGATCCCACAGTCTTTG